AATCTAACCCAAATGAAGGCCAGTAGAGGCGGCCTTTCGACTCCAACCCATTACTATCTCTGATATTGAGTTACCGGTGGAGACCATCCATTCGATAACCATTTCAAATGCCTGTTCGGGATCGTAGACACTGTGGTACTTGATGTTAACCCACTCTACTCTCCCATTCTTAGAGCCATCGTCTAAATCAAGGACTGTGTTCTTAGACGTGAAATCTTAGGGACAAAATAATCATTATTTTGCAAACATTCGTGAATTATAGCGTCGCATACCCTGTACTTCAGGTGACAGACTATTTGAATAGAGTTCATTGCCAGTGCTGTACCAGTGCTCGTAATTCTTGGCTAAATTGCTTTGCGGAACAATTGCCACTTCCATCCACTCCTTCTCAAACATATGAATATCGCTCTCGTGTCCGAACAGATGATTCCTACTGTTTGTATCCACAATGCAATACAAATAGAAACCATGTTTAAAGGCTTGTGTCTTATCGCCGGATGCGTGACAAATGACACCCGACTCGACCATAGACTGGAATAGAGAAATAGCGATCCCTTCAGTCAATACATTTTCGATATTATTTTTGGCCCAAAACACGGCTTCGGCGCTAATGAACGTATCGGGTGTAAGGCCTCCACATTTGGTCACAAAGTTAAGCGCACTTAACACACAAAAATACAAACAATTATTTTCATATAACATTTAAACATAACAAATACTAAATACTTAGTCTTTTTCATGGTTTCAATTATATCGGAATGAGAGGAATGAATGGTTAATCTTTCATTGGTTTCGTCATCAGTTGGATTGGATTCGCTCTCAATTATGGGTGACTTACAGACAAGTGTCGACAAAATTGGTCCATCGATTTCGTCGCATCGCTCGTCAGCGCCTTTATTGATGACATTTATGTTTAATCGTTGAGCGGTCACTGGTTTTTGGGTTTGAGACGATTGGTTAAGAAGGATGTTGTCTCTAAAGAGCGCCCCTTCGCCCACATTTATATCCAAGGGTTGAGACATTCGGTTTGCATTGGTTTGAAGGTTCTGTAACTGAGCCGAACTCGAACTGAATCGTCGATTAGAGCTCACATTCTTTCTGTGCTCCACTTTAAGAGCGGGTTTACGTGTATTCGGCGGACGTCTGATTCTGTTAATGATTTCCAAGAATTTGATGAATCCTTCCTGCAATTGAACCTTTTCTTCGGGAGTGAAGTCGTGGTAGAGATCGCACGGGTAGTCATCTTCTCCAGAGAGGCACTTATCGATAATGGCTTTTGTAATCGATTGCATCGATGGTAACATTAAGAGCCGAAACCGCCAGTACTTTAAATTTTCCCGGAGTTCGTGTTCGTCAGCCTTAAGACACGTATAGTTATCCAAATCTTAAGCGCAAAAACAAATGTATCCAATATTAGTGAATCAATAGGACATACAATATATTAAACATAATAACGTTTGCATACAATTCCACTTATAATTCTCGAGTTTCTCACTCGTGAAGTCAACCCAAGACACACCATATGTCTCATTGTCTGGAGTTCTTATACGATAGCAGTAATGAATTTTGATGACAGGATAGGGATGTCTCGGGTGATAGTTCTTCACATAAATGGTCTTTTCGTCTAATTTCAATTCATGGAATATCCTTCCAATACTCATCGCGTATTCGTAGTTCTCCCGAATCCTTCCACCAATTGATCCGACTTTAGCCAAATTGGGCAATAATATGATCTGAAATCCCTGTTGCAGTCTCTGACAAATCAGTTCCAAATAGACCTGAATTGTGGACAATGGCTGATGGTATTTAGCGTCCTCTTCGCCTCTATAGCATCGCTGTTGGAGTCGATCAGAACTCTGCTCTTCGGGCAACAAATTATAACTATAAGTGACGTAATCCTGTTGTAGAGTCCGTTTGTCGGGCAAAAAGTCTGTAGTGACGGGCAAACAGGCGGGCATTAC